TTATAAGTTCATATCCTGATCTATTCATCATAAAATCTAAAGCTTTTTACATAACACTATAATTAACTTTCAAGTTTTAAGAATAATAACAATAGTTTCTTCGCCTCTAAATGCCCTGGTGCGGTAGAGAGTGGGGTGAGTTCACTCACCCTCTCGAAATGCTCTCATCACATGGCCACGTGTATATAACCTCTATCAGGGAAGTTTCTTCAAACTTTTCAATGTCTATATGTTCTCATCATCTCAATCTTTACTTATAATACAATAATAAAAATAATAACATTGTAATTGAAACTGAGATATAACTGGATACAAATCAGTGGATCAACAACATAAGTTATGTTAAACAACACCCTTTAATTATGAATCTGATTCATTTGATTAAAATCTAAGCAAATACAATGGTGTATAGTTAGGTACCATTGTGTGTGTGTGTATGTGTACGATTTGTGTACGAAAATGATGCTAAAGATAATGATTTATTATCAGTTAGAAATGGTGATAAACCATTTTGATAAATTAAAACTATGAATGGATGTAATTCTATATGAATCTAAGATAGATTTTCATACTAACCTGACAATTAAACGATTAAAAATCATTGGTATAAATATGTGACACTTTTTTTTATTACACATTAGTGACTCATCTTCAGTTCGAAAAGATATTGTAATTAAGATAATGTTGGATATAGTTGGATTTACCATCGAAGGATGTAAAATCTCTCTAAATATCATGGAAATCCTGAAATGTAGTAGGCTAGGTAAGCATTGTAAACCTGGTAGCGCTGCATGCCTATTTCGTTCAAGCATAGAACTAATCAGTAGTGTATATTGATGACCCAACACGTTTATTTAAACACACAAATATTGGTACAAGGAAGCACCAGATGTATATGCACCACACAAATCTCATTTAATTTGTGTGAGGGCTGTGATACTGTGTCCAGGTGCCCAAACTTAAGTAGGTGGTTTACCTTATAGGGCCACATCCGGAGCCTTTGACCTAAAGGTCTGATCCATAAGGCAGTGGAGCATCGTAAGGAAATGCAATCCCATGGTAGCCGGTGACCAACAGTTGCTCACTTCCACCGAAATCCCAGAACTTTAAATGACAGTCCATAACAAAGTGGGTATGACCACATCCGATTTGAACACATCTATAACAGATATCACATTGATTTTCATCTACCAACTATCATTTCCAAACCATAAATTCACTTTATCTAAGACATTTTCAATATTACAATATAACATCAATTATTCATTTCATTATTTTAAATGGTTACATGTAAAACTTCCCCCTTTTTTTGTTCCAATAACAGTAAATAGTATCCAATCCAAATACTTTCCCTTTCCTCTTAACCAAAAAGATCAACTTATTAAACTATAAAAATAATGAAAGCGGTTTCAGAGAGAAAGAGAGAGAAATGAAACTATCATAAATCAACAATATTCCGGAGGACATAAATTTTGTTTGTTTGCATGCATATGTGTTCATATATATCTATAGATAGAATAAATTAAATATGATCCTTCTTTACTTAAAATATACTACTGAATAATTTAAGAATTATAGTAGTATCGACCATCTATTAAGTCATTTTTATAATTTTTTTTATAAATTTTATGTAAGAATATACATCGGAATGATTGTCAATTGTTTACATAATTCTTCTAATGTTGAAAGCGTCAGTCAATTGAAGCTAGACCACCAGGGAAAAGCTGGAAGCACTGGATGACCGTTTCGTTCTATTGTGGGATTCCTCAACAGTGCACATTCACGACTTCTCCATGACCTCGCGAGTCTGGTAGATCCTGAACTTGAATCTCGAGAGGCGAGGTCGTGGATGCGCACTGTCACTGAGGAGTCTCAGAATAGGACAAAACGGCCTTATAGCAGTGCTTCGGAGTTTTCCCTGGTGGTCTAGCTTCAACTGATTCATGATCTCAACTATGAAAATACAGAAATCTCCACAAAACCCCTTCTTATGATGTTGTTTATTTATTTGTTTGTTTGTTTTTCTTATCACGGAATCATTGATTTATGGGAAATTATTATTTATGTTTATTTCAATAGACAAGTAAATAAATAAGGAATAATTAATTTATCGTCATTATGATTATCATAACTAAAATAACACTAATCATGATTATACTACGTTGATAACTGTAATGTCCATAGTCCAGGGGAAAAAAGAGCGTGAATCATTTGGTTCAATGAAATCTTCTACTTGGAAGTGTTGTTTACGAAATTGGGAGGATGAAAAGCGAATATCCGGCGCTTTAACCGGGTTGGTGGACACGGAAAGTCCACCTAAGTGAATTGGAAAACCCTCATTCCAAACCAATGGTGTACATGGTCTCCAGTATCCTGAAGGAACAAATGACGTATGAATCAATCGTTGATCAACTACTACCATGGGATTGCATTTCCTCACGATGCTCCACTGCCTTATGGATCAGAGCTTCAGGTCAAAGGCTCCGGATGTGGCCCCCTAAGTAAACCACCTGCTTGAGTTTGTGGACCTGCGCAGTATCACAGCCCTCACACAAATCAAATGAGATTTGTGTGGTGCATATATATCTGGTGCCCTTTTGTACCAATATTTATGTGTTTAAATAAATAAATAAATCTACTTGGAAGATAATCAATATTTTCGGATACGTTATTGTGAAAAATTTTGTTTTTCATGTTTTAAATCATGAACTGGTATTAGTTTGACCAAACCACTAGTGAACATTTAAAAGCAGTGGATGGGCGTTTCATCCTAGTGTGAGACTACTCAGTCGTACGCATACACTATCCAACATCCGAGTATTGAAGTTGAGATATTCGGTCTCGAACGCGATTTCTTAACAGTTAGACTACTTAGTTGACCGGATCAAATGATGTTTGATGCGTAACTTCAATTGGTTCAAGATACCGTATAAATCTCATCGATTACCTGTAATGGGTAACTATCTCATAACCGTTTGTTTATTTATATTGTTTACTTAAACACATAAACATGGGTACAAGAAGGCATCAACTATATATATGCGCCACATTTTATCATTCGATTTATGGGTGTCGTTGGATACCATCCGGGCACCAAAACCCAAGAAGATGGTTTTCTCACAGGGCCGCTCCCTGAGTCTCTAACATAGAGGATGAATTCTCAAGGAGATGCAATCCTATGGTAGTCGGTGACCAAAAATGGGTTAATACGCCATTTGTTCCCTCAGGACCGCGGAGCTCAAGTGCACTATTGGTATGGAATCATGGTTTTCAAACTCCTCTAGGTGAATCCTCCGTATCCATCAACCCGGTTAAAACGCCGGACATTCGACTTTCGTTCTCTCAATTTCGTAAATATCATTTTCATACCTGAAGCGATTTGAACTCTGCTGGTCACAATTTCTCAACAGAAATCCATCGTTTTATGTTCAATCTCTACAAATCCACCTATATTAAGAATGACTTCATATATTATGCTATTTTTTAAAACTTGAAATCAATCTTAGTTACTAGATTCGTTTACCATGAAATCTTCATTGAACCACGTTGTCAAATACAAATTACCTAGTTCAGATTGGCATGATTATCGTATCTAGTGGTTCGAAACGTTAATTGCTATGGCGAAGAGTTAATCGCAATAGCTCAGATACATCTGCCTCTTGCCTTCCCTTGGATCTTAAGTTTAAAAATGATCCCTTACTTTTCATTCCACAAACTTACTTATTTTTCTCGAACCATATTACTTATTCCTAATTTCTTCCTACTGTAGCTTGTACTACTAGTGTGTTTATCATTCTACCATTTGTTTTGATGGTTTCATCTCGCTATCCTAACATGACGTTATAACTTGGGACGGTTTACATATATGCCACGCTTTATGTATCTTATAACTAAGTCACTTATCATCAATCAAAAATATCTTTGAAGCATTGATTGCTTATGATCCGGTCATCAGATGAGTAGTATTGAGATCAATTATACGTTGTAGGTATATCGATTGATAACATTTTAAGTGATCAAAACACTTATTACTCGTACTTAGTTATTACATAACTTGACACACAATACTGTCTACCGGTAGAGCATCTCCTATAATCCTTAAAGCATATCAAACCGAAACATTTTATGGACTGATGACTTTAATCGTACAATAAGACACAAAATAACTGGTTGAACAAGTTGTGTTCAGCAGTTAGAAATAGGTCAGTCAGTCAGTCAGCTACAACGTAGGATCAGGCACACATATGCATCGGTCCAAGTTGTTATATCTTGTTAGAAATAGGCCACATAGATAAAGTTGTAATCATTCTTTATCTCTTTTAAATTTGATTCTGAGTGTCACTTTGTACTTTCAGTTCTTTTTCTGAAAAAAACCCGTATTGTTTCCATGTTTAGCCTAACACTACAACAAACACCATTATTCTAGATGGTATTTTCCTATGTTTAACTAACTTTTGATATACCAACACTGATAAGAGACTATTGATTATAAATAGGAAATTTTCACCTGTTCTCCAGTCTATTGAATTAATATGCCAGGAAAATTAGTCATGTATAATGCATCATTAATTAGATTTTAAAAGTCAAATGGTTACAAAGATAAAGTCTGTTGTAGAGATATCAACTCACTGAAGACAATTAGTGAACAGTCGCTCAATTTCGTGGATTGGTTGAAGTTAGACATTAACACCGTTGGATGCCAACTCACAAGGTCTATCGGTTAAGTGCTCTGGGGCGAGACTGGGTGGTCTTGGGCTCGAATCCACGAGTACGGGATCGTGGATGCGCACTGCTGAGGAGTCTCACATTAGAACGAAACGTCCTTAAAGCAGTGCTTCCAGGTTTTCCATGGTGGTCTAGCTTCAGTGGACTAATGGTTTCAACTATGAAAATACTAAATTCTCCACAAAATCCACTCTAAAAGATAAAATAGTAAATGAATACCCTGTTTCTTCAAAATGATTCATTGATATCTTTTCATTTTGTTTTTTATCTTTTAGATCATTGCACATGATCGAGATCAAGCTGCTAAATTGACATATGAATTAAGTAGTGAAGGAAAACAATATTTCACTATTGATCCTATTACTGGTGTAATAACTACGTTAGGTGGTGATGAAAAAGATAATTTACATAGTTCCAGTTTACTTGATCGTGAAAAAACAGAGAAAATCACCTTTTCAGTATGTGTTACTGATGGTACACCAACAAATGGTTGTGGTATGATTTCATTAGATCATAATTCTCAACTTAATCACGATGGAATAAAACAAAAGTATTTACAACAACCAATTGGTACTTCTAGTGATAATATTGTACGTCCAATATTTACGGCTTCAGCAACTGTTTTTGTCACAATTTTAGATGTTAATGATAATCAACCACAGTTTATAACGAAAGGACCTTTTTCAATCCTTGAAAATCAACCACGTTTTACTCAAATCAATGGACGTATTACAGCACTTGATGCAGATGCAGGAGAAAATGGACATGTAAGTCAATTAATACAGTTTTGTGTTGTTTTTTTGGTACTAATTAACTTGAATTTTAACATATTTATGGAATTTTTCATCAGTTTGAACTCTAAATGAGTCAGGTTTTTGAATGAATGCGTTCTTGTGGTAGTTTCTTTCAACTGACCATTTCTTTACTGGTATTGCTTGAATAGACTGAAATTGTTTTCAGTGTTGAATACTTTGTTTTCGTATTGTTAATGTTGAGGGTTTGGATTTTTCAGAAGTGTTTTTAATCAGTCTCTACGATCACGACGACCCTTTGAATGAAGGCATCGAAATTGATGGTAGATTAACTGAAGAATCTCAAAGTGATCGGAGCCTATATTCTAGTTTCTATTACTAGCCACAGTCCAAAAATATCCCTATCCTTTGAATAGTACATATCAATATGAGGTTTTGGGGATTATTTAATTTCATTGAATTCAAGAACCACTATTGGAGATCTAGAAGTACTGGAAAGCGTGTTTGAGATTTGTCAGCGGTATGCACCAATGACATCTCAACCGAGATTCATGGTCAAAGGCGTTCGACCGTGTTGAGTGTTAGTCAGTTACTCACCACTGTCAATGAAAGTGGGTTGTGCACTATCATGAACTGATTGAAGTTAGACATTAACACCGTTGGATATCGACTTAGTGGTCTTGGGATTAAACTTTTGTGCTCAAGGTCGGTTGACACGTGCGTGTTTATGGATGGGCACCGGTGAGGAGTCCCATACTAGGATGCAATGATCGTTCAGTTCTTCAACATTCTCAATGACAGTCTAACTTTGATCGGTTTTCGATCTTAGTGAATGATGTATCATTCAAAAAGTATATTGAAGATGGATATATATTAATGTCAAGATATTTTTAATCACTAAGTCATGATAAAATATAGTGAACTCTCACACGTATTTACATGTTTCTTTTTTGTACATTTAAACTGACCACCGATACATTAAGGATACAATATACACAAGTTTAAACGTGCTATCAATAAACCCACCGTTAGAGACATGAATACATAAATATAGTGTATTGATCACCTGTGTTCAATCGGAAAATTACCCCTTTATGAAATCTACCTTGGCATACTATTTTGTATAAGTTATACTGTTCCATGGTGTATTAAGAATAGTCATAAGAAGAATAGTGTGTATGAGAGTAGTATAGTGGTACCATTGATAATAATAACAATAATCATAGTAATAATGTTTATAGTCTGTTAAATGTTACTGTGAAATTAGGTGACTGACAATTAATTACCCTGATTTATTTCAATCACCCTTTGTCCTCAATAACAATGTCTGATTTCATATTAAGATTCTCGTAGAACTAAACTAATAAAGTCAGTCATAAACAGATGTACTAAATGGCTTTATGGACATTACATAAATATTAGGAAGTTTTATAATTATAACTAGAGGCAATTGAAATGCTTGTAAGTGTATATTACCTCCACGTAACTGCTAAATTTCGAATTATCAGAAGGGTATTTTGTGGAGATTTAGTATTTTCATAATGGAGAGCGTGAGTCAATTGATTGAAGTTAGACATTAACACCAAGGATGCTGGCCGGCTCAGTGGTCTATCGGTGAATTGTTCTGGGACGAGACTGATAGGTCCTATGTTCGAATCTCGCGAGGCGAGGTCGTGGATGAGCACTGCCACTGAGGAGTCCTATAATGGGACGAAACGGCCATCCAGTGCTTCCAGGTTTTCCCTGGTGGTCTAGCTTCAATTGACTAACGCTTTCAACTATGAAAATTTCGAATGTTAATTCAAGTCAGGAAAAAAAGTAGAGAATTTTGTATAATAGACAAAATATAGCCAGCAGTAGGATCCAAAGAGTATGTTCTGTCCTATATGGGACTAATCATTTAGAAGTGCTTGCATCCCAGAGTTGATTTTCACTCCAGGGTTCGAACCCTGTATCATTCTCTTCAAACATTTAACGTGTTATTCACTTACCTACGGAGTTTAAGTAACCAGTCACCTGTAGAACGAGTGTTCTATTAAAACTTTATATATGCTGATTATATCTGGGTAATCTGCACAGAATCCACATATATCGGATCAGATTTCAGTTGACATTTCATCAAACTGGAAAACTCAAACTGTTACGAATTTAATCAAGCAGTGATTTATTTGATTAGTTTCAAATTACATTTTACACGTGAAGTCTATCGATAGTAACTAGTTCTGAAAACTGGACTTCAGTCACTAACTTAATGACTGAAAGCTAATTGCTTAACTCACTAAACTATCATCCAATCTAAATAACACTTGTATCTCTAATACAAAGTATCTAAGCTGATTCTCAATCGGTAAATCGAGACGATAGCTCAGATGGTGTTGTAGATTTAGTTATACATCATCTTCCCAAATAAATTGTCTCATTTATAAATTTCATCGAAGTTCTACATCACATTGTCAATAACTTCATACAAATTGAACTGTCTAATAAAGGACTATTTCTGTTACTGATTGGTTCTTCTCAAATGGACCTTCAAATGCCCTGGTACAGTCGAGGGCGGGAAGAGTTAGCACTCCTTCTTGAAATACTCTCATATGACCACGGTTATACAACTACTATTACAGAAGCCCTACTCACTGCATTCTCGCACCAGTAGTGTTGTTTACGAAATTGATAGGATGAAAAGCCAATGTTCGGCGATTTAACCGGGCTGGTGGATATGGAGGATTCACCTAGGGGAGTTGAAAAACCGTGATTTCAAACCAATGGTGCACATAAACTTCTGGATTCTGAGGGTAAAAATGGAGTATGAACCTATTATTGGTCACCAACTACCATGAGATTGCATCTACCAACATTGCTTAGACTTTTAGGTTAAAGGCTTCAAGAGTGGCCCTCTAAGAAAACCATCTATTTCGGTTTGGGCATACAGGCAATCTCACAGCCCTCACACAAATCTATGGTAACTGCTACTGGCCTCATTGTTATTACGTTACTTACTTACTACTTACGCCTGTTACCTTTCGTCGAGGAGTATAGGTCGCCCACAAGCATTCTCCATCCAACTCCGTCCTGGGCAATCCTTTCCAGTTCTTTCCAGTTAACATTCATCCTTTTCATATCTGTTTCTATTTCCCGACGCAAAGTGCTCTTTGGCCTTCCTGTTTTCCGTTTCCCTTCCGGATTCCAAGTTAGGACTTTCCTTGTAATGCATATTGGTGATTTCCTTAATGTATATCCTATTCACTTCCAACGTCTTTTCCCAATTTCCTCTTCAGCTGGAAGCTGGTTTATCCTCTCTCATAAAACGCTGTTGTTTATAGTATCCGGCCAGTGAATGTTGTTATTACACGGAGCATATGTACCATTGTACATGTGTTCAAATAAATAAAGAAATGAAACAAAGATTCTTAGTATTTCTTACATAATCTATTAGTTTAATTTCTCTATAACCACTTTTAATTCTTTTCATCCTTGTGATGACCATTTTCAGAACATAATACTTTATCTATTAAACACAACAATGTACATCTAAGGTAATCAATAATGTAATCCTCCTTACATAAGTTAAAATATTCGAAAACAACACATATCTATCTATGAATACCGCCATTTTGAAAAGTATACAACATCCAAACTACTTTTTTTTTTACTAATGTAACAATGTTCTTTAATAGTTTACTTATGGGATATGAGTTATTAATACCGGCAAATGAAATCAATACACATGTAGTTAATTTATTTAATTATAATTAACTAAAAATGAGGGGAAAAAAGAGACATAATCGATAGCTTAAATTGAATATCGACGCCATACAACAATTTCTTTGAAGTATCTGATGTTCTTTCTTAATATTATAGAGTATGTATTTGTTTTATATATTCTGATTTCTTTATTGGCATAGTAATCTTAATATTCATTGATCGAATTCTCACTTCTAGATTCAAGTTGTTACCAATGATTTTCATAGTTGAACCATGAAAAACCTGGAAGCACTAGATGGCCGTTCCGTCCTATTGTGGGACTCCTATAATATTGATCAAAAGAAAATATGTACATGGTTACATACACAAAAACTTCTATTCGATAAAAAATTTTCAGAATAGCTTTATAAGGGATGTGATAGAATAATTCACTTATGTGATAACAGACGTGAACCACATCTGTTGTAAGATAAGAACTAACTGAAGACGATTGATGAACGGTTGATCAACTTCGTGGTTTGGTTGGCGTTAGACATAACCATCATCGGATGCCGGCTCAGTGGTCTAGAGGTTGAGCGTTCACGCGAGAGACTGATAGATCCTAGGTTCAAATCTTGCGAGACAAGACGGCTGTCCAGTGATTCTAGGTTTTCCCTGGTGGTCTAGCTTCAATTGACTGACGCTTTCAACTATGAAAATACTAAATCTCCACAAAACCCCTTCTGACCTATGATTTTGTATTATCATGAAGTGGCTGAATATAATTGGCTATTGAAATCATAACTTTAATGAATCTTAAGAATCATCAGTAGGATACAGTGAATTATTAGTTTACTTAAGACTCGATATTGAATATTAATCATACAGCAAACAAAAACACTTCAGAGATAATTTATAATGATTTAGCTAAGAAATTAACTAACCTAAGTTATCCTACAAAATTGTTTTGATGCATGGAATGTGTGTCCATTTTTGTTTGCGTCCAGTTAACCGTAGTCATTTTAGTGGAACAAGTTAATCGATCAGCGAACTTGAAATAGATAACTGAGTTACATCAGAATCCCAGTAAATAAAATGTTACTTTCAAGCATGACCTAGGTTTCGAAATTTCCAAGAAGCAGTATTCTATTCCAATAATGAAGGTGGTCAAAAGCCTGTCGTTTTCACTAATCTTCGTTTATCTAGACTATCCTTATTGACTGACCCACAATAGCTGAACTAGAATTTCACTTGTGCTTTAAACAGATGTATATTATAAATATAATTTAAATTCAGTATTTATTGTTAAATAGTCCCAACAACTAAATTTAACA